TAAAAGGCACATGAATATTAGTATTCAGTGGCAGAACTAATTGCAGAGAAATGTCAGTTGGTTCTTTTCCCCCCTTATTATTGATACTATGCTAAGCTTGTATAAACTGTAAAACCAAACCAAAAAGTATGTTTGTCTAACAAGATATTCTATACTTAGAAGTCAGACTGAAAAGTTTTTCAGCAATAATTTTTGGTAGTTTAAACTTAACATAATTTCTGGCCAACAATATGTAAATATCCACTATTGAAACAGACTGATTTTTATGAAGTGGAAAGAGAAAACACAAGAGTATGTGTTATCATACTAGTTACAAACCATTAAGACTACTAAATCATATAAAATTCATAGTGGGAAAATTTACTGCTGTTACACTGAAGGATTTTGTTGTTCCATTCAACTGCCTTACAAAACTAATGACATATTACTGCATGCTGACAAAAGTAATAACCCTCACCAATTCTTACTAAATATTGCCAATCTGACAGTTTTGTACAAATGAATGACAATATTTTGACCAAAGAGAACAGAGATTGTAAAAAAATGAAGAGCAAGATAAACACAACAGACAACTGAAGCTGAAAACCATGTTTTGTCAGTTATTAAGGAAACATTTCCACAGCTAACACCCATCTGATGCAAAGATTTGGCTTTTTGCTTGTTCATACAAAGTTAGATTTTTAGGTGCTGCTCTATTTCTTCTGAAAAATTCGTCCAGGTTCTTTGAAGAACCTATTTTCCAGCTATATGTCAAGTATCAATTCTCCTTTAAATAATAATACAAGTATCTAAGATACCTTAATAACTGAATTTTATATAAGGCAACAATTCTTTGACGACTTTTAATTTTTCTTTGATAAATAAGTGACAGTTGCTGTGGTTGAACTTTATTAGCATCTCTGAGACCACAGCTATCACAGGTAACAAAGGTACTGAATTTTCAAAGACTCAAAAAACACCCAGTGTTTCTCTGTACTTATGCAGTAAGCTGATATCCTCTTTATTCCATAGAGGAGAGGTATCAAAGACAGTAGTACTCCCAAACTCTTCACTATGTTCAACCAAGGCAAGCTGAGCTTCTGCTTCTCCAGTGAACAATCTCCTCTCTAAGTACAACAACTTCAGCTTCTCCTTCTCTAGCAAAGTGAACAAGGGAGCACCTCAACAGCCATTATTAAACCAGGACCATAAAATGTTTCATTCTTGACATCCCAAGTATATGACCTCATCATTAAATTGAAGAATTTGCCTCTGTCTTTCATCACCTTTTCCTGACACTACTTCAGTTATTGTATGCATGGTTAAACAATAACTGATCTAAGACTCTCACTGTACAAACCTGGATAAGCCATTTAGGCCAAATATATTACAGGCAGATTAAAATTATTCTTTTAATCTACATTTATTTATTTATATAATTTACAATTATTTTTTTATAAAAAGTGGAATATCTTCAGAGCAGAATTCTCATTATAAATTGAATAGTCCCCTCATGCCCAGGGAGGAGGGACTTGAACTTCAGTCTCTCATGCATCAGACAACGGCTTCTGTCAGAAATCAGTTTTTTGAGAGAAAGTTTCAGTAGAAAATTTCTACTTTAACAAAATAGCAAATCTATGCAGTATTTTTGTACTGTATTTACAGGACATTGACAGTCTCTTTTGTTTTAAATATCTTTTTAGTTAGTATTTGTTTTAATTTAGCTTTTGTTACATTCTCACTGCCTTACTAGCATATTTTTCTTCTTCATACTTGTTTTTCTAAAACAGGTTTTGTCCGTACCACATTTTAATGTATTTACATGTGTTTTCCACATTATGTACAGTTTTCTCCCTCCTTCTTTTTCTACAGTCTGTTCTCTATCTAGTAGCTTATTTGTTCTCTTCATATTCGTTCATATTTCAACATTTCTTTTACACTATCAAGTCTGAATTTTCAAATTAACACAATAATGCTATCTCTTCACATAAACCCTTGTCAACTAGTCACAATACCTCTAACACAAAAGATTGAATCTACACAATAGGGCTAGATATAAAACATGGAACAAGAAGCACTACCTACAGGAATTGCACAGATGCAAAGAAAAACATATTTCTAGCTACTTGAATTCCTACCAGGATTTATCTCTTCGAATATTTTCTCTGTAACTTGCAGGAATTCCAAAATACTAGAATTTTAAAATACAACATTTTAAGTCCATACATTGCTCCCTTGCTCCACACATGCTTCAGAAGTGGGGTTTCTTAATTCTTTTTTCCTCAAAAGTGTTGCATCAGAGAGAAATAGTTTCTACTCTTCCCCTAACTTCCTGTTTAGAAGTATCAGTTCATCCTGCTCAATCCGCTGCTCACTGATAACCCCAGCTGCTACATCCCTGTTTTCAGTTTTTCTAAGAATTGAACTGAGAAGAGAAGCAAAGAAAAAAGCAGAAAAGTTGTGGCGTTTGGCCTGCTTAGACGGTGGTTTTTTGCTTGTGTGCATTTTTTGTTTTGAAAAGCAGGTATTTCTGAATTAGCTCCTCCACATAGGACATTCAAGCGCTACTTCTGTAATTCTCAATTTTAATTTTTTTAATTAGAACCTTATCTTCAGCAAATGTTTTAAGCTGGCTGCAATGCCTGCATGTGTTGCTAAGTCACATTAGATCATGGGAATTTTCAAATCCTACTTATCATTATCCACTTCAAATTCACATAAGTCTATTAGAAAAAAAAAATCCATACTCTCTTGTCACCAGCACTGATGCTTTGGTAAGGTCTGCTGGCTTCATTCAAGAATGAGACCTCTCCTTAGAAGAAACACAGAAAGATCTATGAAAATAATTCCCTCCTCAAATAATGTTGCATGAGGGATTAGCACAATCTTCATTCAGGCTTTTTACCATCTAGGCTAGTTATTTGCATTTCGTAAGTGACATGACTAAATCAACTAGAGGACTGAATACCAGAAATGGATGCAATTTTTACCATTATTTTTATCATATGGAGTCCTTACACTCTACCATAATTTTCTGCATTTAGAAATTTAATTTATATGATCTGTGTCTGAGGCTGACACAGATACCCCAGCTTGTATCTATATATGTACTCACTTTTTAGTCAAAACCAAATGATTCTAAATACTTTCAGTGGGGTCCAACTTCCATAAAATACTGCCTTATCTAACCAGATACACAACCAATTCCTGGTACAGGGATTACAGGATACGAGACACATACGATAGCAACGCATTTAATGACATAACTGAATTTGACTTAACACAACTGAATACAAAAAAGTCACTGTAAATAGTATGTGTCCTAAACATGTAGTACGCTTATCAGAATTTTAAGGTGCACAAAAAGGGACAGTAAGTTTTACAGTAACGGGAATTACTGAACTAGAGAACTACAAATTTAAAAACCATATTAAGGAAAAACTCAAAGATAAGAGCACAAAGTTTGATGTACCATTGTTATTCAATTATTACATTTTTGTAAAAACATTTTCTCACCCAACAACTGGGACTTATCTTGTATTGTTTTTTTAAGAAGCATTCAAAATGTGGAGATAAATAGTCTGGTTTTAAGTATAACAGCCATTTGAGAAAACAGAGGTTTGATCTCTGTCATACTGGCACACATCACTGCACAAAATAAATAAAAACAACAAAAGAGAAAAAAAATCTCCTCAACTAGAAATGACGCTTTAAAATGATCTGTTAAATAAGTGTTAGTATCCCAGTTTGAAATACTCGGTCTCTCATTTTGCCCAAGACAGCAGCACCTCTAAGAATGAACAAAAATGCAAACATGTAAGCACTGTATAAAAACTGAAGTAGCTACAGCTATTTGGGTTTCTTGGGAAATGTTTTGGAACCAGCACTAGAAGTCCCATACTGGACCTACCATACTGGACTTACTGTACTGCACTCAATAATCCTGAGGTACTTTTTGCTCTGTCTCTATCTGAATCTTGATTTAAATTAATGAAAAACTTAATGTTAGGAAAAGATAAGCCTCACTTTCACAGGGCTAGGTTTCTTTTTCTCATGAAGTATAGTCTGGTGCTTTGATAGTGAGTAAAACAAACAAAAAATAACTTAATGGCCTAATGTTTTTATATGTTGTCTTTCTTTGTCTTCTTGAAAAAAAGCACAATTTTTAATTCTGAATACTTTAAAGACAGCTGCAAAAATTATCCATCAACCACAAAAATTAATCACTTAGCAAAATATGTAACAGTAACAATGACAACACTGATATTTAGAGTAGAATATTAGCTTAACTCGGCAAATATAATACAAACAATGAGTCCTAAAAAAGCTCTTCTAATGTTTACTACTAAGTAAGTTTCCTTTAGGCAGTAAGGCACATACGATTAATTACTCCTGCAATGTTCCAATGACAAAAATATAACACAAACTGTCCACTGTCTCTCAAATAGATTTAACAAAATAGTGTCAACAACATGTGAATGTCTTCTATTGTCAAATATTGATAAGTAAATACCAGAATGAGCTAGTATTTAGTGCAAATCTGAAAAAGACAGTATCTTTATTAAATTCAGTACAGGCCCAGTAAAAACACTGCATGTTATCATGAAAGCTCATGTTACCATTAGATTACAGCAGTCATTGAGCAATAATATGTACAAATTAAATTAAATATAAAAGAAAACAATCTAAATTGTAACAAATTTCTGTAGTGTCTCCCACTGCATTGCATCACCTACCAAGGACTCTTGTCATAGTATCTGCCATATTAAACTACATGGCATGCCCAACACAGCAATGACATGCAACTAAATTTTATTCTACTGCAAGACAGGAACTTGGTTCCACCAGAACAAAGTTCCAACAAAACAAAAAAGGTATTCCCATCACAAATACAATGATCACACAGTAACATATAGAATACTGATTAAAAAATTAAAACACCACAGGTTCACAGTTCTTCATGCACAGGCACACACGTGCACATCCACAGCACACACTTTGCATCTTGAACTTTCACTTACCTCAATAGCTCTCTTTATGTATGGTATCTGTGTCCCACTGTCCAGATCTTCATTAATTATAAGTCTCCTAGCCCACTGACCAGCTCTGACAACGCCATTACCATGAATTAGGACCAACAGCTTGTCAGGATTTACTAATGCATCTTCACTCATAAAGATAAAGCTCTTTGGTTCAGTCTCAATTGCATCAACCTGCAATTACAGACAACACACATTTTAATGCATCAATATAATTCTTTGAAAGAAAACTGTTAGTTACAAAGTTATCTACCAAATTTATATAAAAACATTCGCCATTAAACAACCATTTCAATGCATGTGTGCCCAGGACTAAATAAAAATAAAGCAAAATATGCAACATAACTTTGAAACATATAAACATACCAAATTTTAGAACAGCAATCCAAGGGACATTTAAAATTAAGGGGTAAAAGGTGTGCTAAAGCTTTGAAACATCAGTTATTTACAAAAATGATAGGAAAGGAAGAAAGTCAATAAATGAGCAATTGGGGGTGGCAAGAAGGAAGGGAGTAAGTAATTTCTCACCTCTGATATGCTTGAAGCAACAAAAAGTTCTTACATAGTAAGAAAAAAAAAAAAATCCTGGAGAATTCCAAATCAGCCACCTCAACATACATACTTGATAAGCTACGTATAGGAACCAGTATTGTAAATTTGTCTGTTACAAATTTAATAGGACAGGTCTATTAAAATATACAAATCCCATTTGGTTCTAAATAATAGCTTCATTAATAGCCCTCTGTACCAGGGTCAATGCTTAGCTACTTTGCGGTAGGAAGAGACCAACAATTAGCCTTGATATTCAGCAAATTGCAATCTAATAGCACATTTTGTCTTTAAAGAGAATAAAGCAGCACTTTTTGTTCAATACAAACTAAAGTTTTTACACTTGGTTTAGCAACCCTGTCTCAAGACAAAAGAACTGTCCTGATGTACACACCATGAGGGCAAAACAAATCCTCATGTTCTCAAACCTACTTCTCCTGCTACTATATGAATACACAGAACAGAAAGAACAAAACAGGCACATCTCCCCCTCCTACTATACTCTACACCCTCCACCCCCACAGCCTAAAACTGTCCAGCTGCTAGGAACACTCTGCAACAGAGAAGAAACACAGACCAGGTTATGATCCCCATGTTGAGAAAGAATGAATTGGCTGTTTGATTAGTTTTGGTAGTTTTTTCTCATATATATGGGTATGTATTCTTAACTACCCTTATAGTAGGAAAAATTAATTCTGCATGCATCTTCAGACTTTTTTAATGTAAGCCCTACGAAACGTTTTTTTAAATGAAGTCAATGAGGCCACTTAAACAAAATAAAATTTGCAAATGAAAGAATAGTCATGTCTCTCTTCAGTATTTGCCATCTCACTGAAGACCTTATTCCCCTGTTCCAAAATAAAGTAACATCTCACATGCCTCAGGGTTTGCACAGGAAATGTACTCACTTTCTCTCACACTGTGCAAAAATAGAAAATATGATAAAGAGTATGTTCTATTGAAAATACTGGGGCTACAGTCAGATCATGCTGCTGCTTCTGAAATAGCAGTTCTGACACCTTAAAAGGTGAAACAGATTAGGTAAAAAGTCAGCCAACACTGACTCTCAGATAGTACCTGGCAATATGTAATTGACTTCTACCCACAAAGTGAATATTTACAACACCATACTTGGGGAAAAAAAAAAAGTGAATTTTGCATTTCAGACTAATAGGTTTAGTTTAGTAGGTTTTAGCACTTATATCACTTATAATTTAAGTGCCAAAGTTTATGTTGTAGTATATAGGAATTAACAGCACTTAGTGGGCATATGTACTAGAAGATATAGCTAGTTACCATTTCTGCAAATAAGTTAATTTTAAAAAACAGCAAAAAATATCTACCAAGATCATAAAAAAATAATTTTTAGTCTTTTCCCAAAACTAAACATAGTTAGAGACTTTTTGTTGAGCTAATTTACCTTCAAACAGCAGTAATTTATTAGATCCAGCTTTCACTAAAGAATGCATGTAAATATCACTCCTATACACAATCTTACTTTACTGACAGATCAACATGGAGCACCATTTAATGCCAGACACATGGAGGCCACATAAAATACTTTACAATTATTAGCCACTTGTTCTTCTGGACCTACTCAATGTCACTGATTTCTGGTCACTTAAATCTAAAGTGAATAAATACAGGAAAATGTTTTTTAGATTAGTTTAACAATTTGATTCAACATTATTATTTACAGGTGAAAATAATTCCAGTAATCTGTAGCTAGGCACGCCAAACCTATCCAAATTATAATGATAATTTACTGTTTAAAACTACAGTTCCATTTTCTTTTTCTTGGAATTTTTTCTCAATGCATAATAATTCTTTAAAGTTTATGAATGTAGGCAGCTATGGTAAGATCTCTACATATATTATGAGAGTCTTAATGTTTTTAAAAAGTGAACTGCCTTTTTCCATATGATTTCTGTCTCAAATGAGTTTTCCCCTACACAGTAGTACCAATCAATAAAATATTTCAGCAGCACACTAGTCAGTATTATGCACAGCTGCTGTGAATATATAGACACTTGAAATCTACTCTTATTGTCATCCATGCTACGACATCAACAATTAGCCTTTACTAACCCGAGATCTATGAGAGCTGACAGGGTTCCAGGAGCAGGAGTCTTTATTCTATATATTGGAGTTTTATAAGATTGAATGTTGAAAAGGGAAGAAAATCCATAAGTACTTTTCTTCCACAATTATTTTTCTTACTAAGTATTTTTCTTATTTCAGTTGAGAAACATGACAAAAATTATGAGCCTTGAGCCTACAAAGTAGGTATAAAGTGTAGCTGGAGGAAGAACATGGCAAATAAGTGGAATTGAAACTGATAAGACTCAAAAAAGATTGTGAGAATTGTGAGCAGCTGATGGAGAGAAAAATCTGCTCATTTGCTTCCCAAGATGAAAAGTCGTCCTCTGTGTGTTTCACCATAAACCCCACTAACTTGCTTTAGTTAAAGTCTTCACAGTATTGAGAATCCTGATTTAGAATTTTTCAATCAAAAATGTAAAACTAAGAAATAATTCTTCTATGAACTTTTACCTATTGAAGTGAAAGTGGAAAGCACTGATAACTGAGAAGATTCTATGAAGTGAGACATTTCAGTGCCATTGCCAACTAAACATGTGTCCTGTTTTCAGCTAGGATAGAGTTAATTTCTTCTCAGTAGCTGATAAAATGCAGTGTTTTGGCTTCAGAACAAGAATGGTATTGATAACACTTAGGTATAACAGTGATATTTTGGTTTTCTGCTAAGTTGTATTTATCCAAAATCAAGGACTTCCCTTTCCTTGTCTCATGCTCTGCTAGTGAAAAGGTATGCAAAATAAACTCGGAGGGAGCACGGCTGGGACAGGTGCCCTGAACTGGCAAAGGAATATTCCATACCCCAGAATATCATGCCCAGGATATAAAATGTAAACTAGGGGGAGTTACCTAGAAGCATGGCCAATCTGGGTTCGGGAATCTGGAGTCTGGCATTGCACATCACTTTTTTTTGTGTGTTATTTTTATCATTTACCATTATCGCTGTATTTTACTTCACTTTAGGTTATTAAACTGTTTTTATCTCAGCTAACAAGTTTTATTTTGATTCTCCTCCCCATTCCACTGGTGTTCAGAGAAGTAAAAGGAGAGTTGAGCAAGCAGCTGCATGGTGCTTAATTTCCAGCCAGGCTTGAAACCACTACATGTTACTAATTATTTAAACTTCCATCTCAGGCTTCCCCAGAAGCTGTTAAAGATGCAGTTAATTTAGAAGCACACTCCACTTGCCCTCAACAGCTAAAGAAGAGCAAAGATCAATCACTGATTATGCCACTAAAACTAGAGAAATACAAATACTCCATCTGGCTAAAAAAACTGCCGTCTTCTTTTTACTACTAACATAACCTTCAATGGAGAGCAAAATAAAACTTTAGAAGCAGTAACTGAATGGCCTCTCCCCTAATATGAGACTCTTTATTAAAATGTTCATGTCCAGTAGTACTTGTTGAACATTATTAGAAGTACAGCGCTTTACAGTAACAATAGTTCAACATGGATCTTGGCCTCCCTGTGTAGGAAAAAATGTTCAGAATTGTTCAGTCGAAGATGCTGGCATAATACAACAATGGGCAAGCTCTCCTGATCTGCCAACTGGTCTTACTTTCGTATCTGACATCAAATTAATTAATTTTTGTATCCCAAACTAAAGTTGCCACCTAAGAAAGCAAAACAACGACAGCAAGTTGGACTTTACACACAAAGTTGAAATTACAGAAGATAAAACGCCATCATGCTAAACCTTTGAAACTAACATTTCCATTCCCTATTAAAATCATGCTGAAAAAAAGCCCACTCCACCTAACAGAGTCCTGAAACACATTTCAAATACTCAAAAATCACAGCACTGCCAGCTTCATTATCAGCTGACAGAAAAAGGAAAACCAATACAACAACTTTCTGATCACCTGCGATGAAATTAAAAGAAAAAAGTTTTTTGCACTCATCTCAAAAATATGCACATAAAAAAGTTGTGTAAATATATATATGTGTGTGTGTGTGTGTGTATATATACACACATATGAGCCATCTTGGTCAGACCAAGGTCCAGGGTCCTGTTTCTACAACTGGCAGATTGCATAGAGGAACAGTAAAAACAATGGTTACAGAGTGATTCTTGCCTCGCTTTGACAGCTGGTAACTTTGGAACCTTGAAGCCACAGTTTATATAACTGGGCATGCACGTTAAATAGTTCAAGGCACCTATCCCACCTTAATATTGTCAAATGGTTTTTTTGACTGCATTTATACCTCTCTCCTTGGTAGTATTCTGTGGCAATGAGTTCCACAATATAATTGGGACATATATGAAATAATACTGTCTCTTTCAGTAGAGATCTCCTGCCTGATAATTTAAACTTGATGCCCCTTAGGTTCTCTATTATGAAAAAAGCAAAAACCCATTTCCTATTCATCTTCCCTTCACCTTTCATGATTTTATAGATTTGTCATATTCCTTCCTCAGCCATCTATTTTCCAAGCTAAAGAATCTTTGTTTAATCTTTCTTTGTCTGAATAGAATTTCACGCCTGTGATCATCCTTGCAACCCTCCTCTGTATTTCTTTTTAATTCTTCATATCCTCTTTGATATGGTGTCCAGACTTCATGCAGTGTTTAACATGAGGGCCCATATAACGAGTGGAATGACGATGTTTTTCTGTTTTGTTCTTGATACCTCGTAATTCCTAATATCCTATTTGCTTTGAGGGTTTTTGACTGCCATTGAGCACTCACTGATGCTCTCAGAGAACTACTCACAATCACTCCAAGCTCTTTCCTGAGTTGTAATTTAGAGGCCACTGTTGTGTTTACAGAGTGAGTTATCTTCCCCATAATTTTGTATTTACCAGAATTGAATATCCTGTCATTTAATCATCCAGTTATTCAGCATGAATAAATAATTTCCCAAATCATCATAACCAGCTTTAGATTTAACTATCCCAAATAATTTTAGAAAAAAACCAGAAATGTTTGTTAGCTTGTATGAATTCCTTTTATCCTGTTGCTTACAGCTATGTCAGCTCTTAACAGCATTTACCTGGTAACAGCTTATTTCATCTGTAAAATATGAACACCTTTCTCCCCTTCTAACCAATTAACTTTAAAGGAGAGTACCTTCTCCTGTGCTTTTAAAGAGCATCTGTTTGTTGACAGTTCACTGGAAATATCTGTACTCTTTTACTGACAAGATTTTTCTTCTCCATGTGATCTCTGACTCCTGCAATGAGTTCTGGATTTTTTAAAAATAAACTTGTACTAATTTTCCCTATTATTACTATTATTATTATTAGTAGTAGTAGTAGTAGTATTTCAGCAGTAAGTTAAACATAAACGGGCTATTCTGCAGCTTCATGTTTGATTTCCTATAGAATCCTAGGTTTAAAAATAATCTCATCCTGGAATTTGTTTATTGTACAATATATTAACTTGTCCTCAGGTCTCCTCTACTGATATGACAAATTTCAGACAGCTGCTCAGAATTATATCCTGTTTAGGATAGTTAAGTGTGTGGAAATTGGACAAGTAGTATTGGAATTAATTATGTTAGTTTTTCTCATTTGACCTTGGTATTCATTTTAGCTGCAATTCATCTACTGACCTTATCAGCTCTCTTTTATTATTAGTCTTTACAACTCTAACATGATCCTCAAATTTGTTTTTTCTGAATTTCCTGTAACTTACCAATACTTATACTCTCTTCTATTCTCATCCTAAAAGCTGTTTTATTACTTTTACTAGTTTCCTTTACTAGTTTCACCTAGAGGGTTGTGTGTCCTTACTTGGGAATCTGTCAGTGGTGATTTAAACCTAGCTTTTACACAGCTTTAATTTTTCAACTTCCAGACATTTTGTTTCAATTTTTCACTTTTGTATATGCCTTTGTAACTTACTTTTGATGGTGAGGGCTGGCTACATGTAACAGCCATTCCTGAAGAACGGTACTTGTACCTCATGAGATTTTTTCCACAACACTCACAATTAGACACCTGCAGATTTTGTGCTTTCCTATTTTGCTCCAGAATGCAATTAAATTATGACACTTCACAGAAGTTGAAAGTAATACATTTGAGAATAGCTTAACTGTATTACTGAACAACTGTATCCATTGTCACTACACAATTTCTAAATACGAGTAAAGAGATTAATCCAAAAGTGGGAACTCGCCAGGACCATTTGTCTTCCAAGCCAAGAAACCTGAACCTTAGAGCCAGGCAGATGAATCAGCACAGGTGTGACATAGGTGATGGAGGTGCTGTAACATTTATCCCAAGTTTCTTCATCTTCATGCTTGGGAGCTAATTGATCAGCTTTACCACTGCCATACTTATATGCATATTCTTCATATTATTTTTTAGGAATCAAAGAAAGTTCTATAGCCTTAAAATGCAGATTTGAAGTTTATAAAAGACAGCTTCACAGTGTCACAGATGAACTGTGACATAGCTTGAGAAGTTTTTTGATACATTATATTTCTGGAAGCACTTTTTGGACCAAAACTTCACCAAGAAAGAAAATCCGCCAAAAGGGTGGAAATCATAACTAGCACTGCACCAGGCAGACTGTCATGATGAATGCAATCCTATGTCTGTCTACACAGAAAAATCTGAAGTGGGGAAATGGTATCTCAGTCTTGGCTCGCAGGGCATTGGTGCAAGCACCAGGCTGGGATATTGCCCTTAGATTTCTCTGTGAACCTTGTAGCTCAGCTCCTTCTGCTGTGACCACGAAACACCGAAAAAGTCCTTCTAGGAAACTACAAGTAGTTTGGTCAGGTCATCAAAACATTCCCTAAGCAACATTCAGGGAATGGAAATGGGAATAGTGAAATCTTACAGAACTGTTAAGGCAAAAGACCATTTCCTTCCATAGCCTAAACAGATTTTCCTTGACTGAATATGAAGGTTCCTCTGAGAATGACAGCAATTCAAAAGATTTCAAACAGCATAGGAATAATCCTTCATAATGATGGAAAATCTACATAGTGCTGTCACACTCCAGTCTCCCCTGCGCTCTCCAATATAAAAATACCTGAACATCATCATATCACATCACATATATTTATAAACACTCTGATATGTGGGGGAGCACTTAATCTTTTCCAAGGGTTGATTAAATATTTTCACTAAGTGACAAAAGCACTTTATATTACATGCATATTACAAATTACTGAAAAAGCATTTTTTAAAAAATGACTTTGACTATTTTACTGATATTGAATGTGAATGTAGTCTTCTGCCTGCAAAGACACTTCTGTTCTCTACATCTGTAGACATCTCAAAATACCCACAAATACTTTTCAGAAAGCTTATAGTGCTCCTATTAAAAGCACCACATTTTGAAAATTCTGGTATGTGGTAAGGTAAGGAAGGCTCAGTTGGAGAAATCAAACACATGAGAAATGAGGTGGAACCACATCTCCAGATGCATACACATGCAAAACGCAAAGGCGGTGTCCTAAAACAATGCCCTGCACAGAGCCCTGGCACACCTTGTCTTTATATGAATATGGGATCACAGGCTATGCTGGGTACAGATTCAAAAAAACAATGCCCTTGGAAAAATAAATTATACTTACTGGAAGAGTTACTTTCTTCAAGTGGCATTCATTCTGCAGTAGTTCATAAATGTATTTAGTAATGATCTGGAAGAAAAGAAAAATATAGAATACCACCAGATACTAAAACACGTACAATAATGACATATGCAGGAAGACAACTTAAAGGCTAATTGGTTAAACTTCTAAGACTTGTATATGTTTTGCAACTTTCCTGAATCCTCTACTGTATAACTAATTATAGAACGTGGAGCTTAGACATAAAATTCTCTCTGTTTCACAGAAAAGACTTCTTGCCAGTACAATGGAAGGGTAACTGTACTTGTGAATCCATCATGCACTACTGTGTGCACAATTAGGTGAATAACAACCTCAAAACTAAGGTTTATAACCAATAATATATACTCGGGGGGGGTAGAAGAAAGGCTGTCTTTGAAAGAAATACTTTTGAAGCATTTTGTCTACTAGCAGATTTCTGGAATTCTCTCTCCTCCAGGTTCACTTCATGATTTACATGGAAAGCAGATTTGTAGCCACCCTCAGCTAAGTTACTTTGCCATTTCTACTTACTGAACAGGGGAGGTATGGATCAAAGATTGCTGAATAGAAGAAAACCCCATACAGATTGCCCATTATGCAGGAGTTTATGTCTGTTTTCTCCATATAGGAATAAAATTGAAATTTCAATCCTGAAACTAAAGGTATCATTTCAGAAAGGCACAAAATGAAGAAAGAAAAAAAACCAAAAACCAAACAAAACACCAAAAAAAGCCCACAAACAAAAAAACCCCAAACAAACAAAAACAACATAAAAACCCAAACAAAACCACAAAACCAAAACAAACCAAAACCCACCAGAAAACAAGAAAGTTACAAAACCCACAAGCCACACAAAAATCAATCTTGTTGCAACAAAAGACTTGCCCTCTTGAATGTAACAAAGTTATTCACATTTCAAATTCTTACCTCCTATCTAGGGACATTTTTTTTCTGCTCTTACATATTCTAAGAAAAATGGAGATGCAGATTAAGTACTTTCTAACTATAATTAATTTGGGAGTTAAACTGAGGAACAAACAGGTACTTCATCTATTTGAGGCTGTAAAAATGGTGTGGACGTTACTGCCTGGATTTCAATGGCTATAAGAGTTTGAAAAAAAAAGGCAAATTACAGAGGTAAAATAAAGAATTCATCTTAAGAGGCTGAAATGGTGCTTGCCTTCTATTTAAAGCTCAGGGAACAGTATTTAAATTCCAGACAGGACAAGGTCTAAGTCTTAGAATATTAATACAAGAATATCTGGGTACAAATCCAGATGGTATTCTTTAGATTAACACCTAAAGGCCACAATTACATCACAGATACATCTGAATCCACAGTATATTAAGCCCCAACAGAAGTATCACTGTACAAAAGTTTAAAGTGACGGCATCTTAACTACACACTATCATCCAAGCAAGTAGAAGCCAGGGTGTCATAAACTTCAAATTAAATTTTCCAAATGCACAATTACAAAAGGAAATTTCAACAAAGTCCAAAAGTTTTTATTATGTTAATGTGAGGAAACATAATATGCAAATGTTTGGAACACATATGAACAAACTGGAAGTGCTGATGAAAGCTAATTAAAGATGTTGTTATATGCTCCTCCTTTCCTCTCTCTAAAACCCAAAATCTTCATTAGGATTATAAGAATTCTTTCTGATCCTGCTCAAATACATTTATTGATAGACTTATGTTCAAAAAACGTTATGGTTTACAGATTATCAGTCCTTCTGAACATTATTATCTACACAGAAACTGCATTTGGAGAAGGAATTCAGCTGTGAGCGATGAGTTGATTTAAGACATGTTTATCCTCAAAGCAGTATGCTTGGAACATGCATACAGTGTAATTTTACCTTCAGGGGCAAACTTTTTATGGTTCACCGAAATCGACTGCAGTGTAACACCAACAAGAAAGCAGTTAAGTTCCTGCAGTCTCAAAGGCTAATGTTGTACGGACATTAAAGTGAGCATAATGATAACACTGACTACAACATAGAAATTTTGGTTTTAACTCTCAATTTAGGCCTCTACTCACTGTTAAAATGACTTAAAGAAAACTTGGAAGATAAAAACTCCTATGCAGAAAATATACTTTAACCACTTGTGAAAGTCTATCCCTTTTACATCTGTTTGCATCTATTTCTTCTATTCTCTCTCATTTATTTAGGCTGTGTGTCTTCGGAGCAGAAATAAACCTTTACTCATTTTTTCCACAGCCCGTCTCAATGGGGTAGTCATTCTAACTGATGCTTTATGCACTACCCTAATAAAATAAATAAACAATAAAGCGCAATGCAGCCTTAAAAATGGGAGTGTTCAATCAGTAGAACACTCTAGTGCGCCAAAGACTTAACCTAATGAATGCTTTCAATAAAAGCAAACACAAATAAAGATACAGGAGGAGAAGGCTCACATGCAAAGTCTGAGATTATGATCTTCAGACAGCTCAGCACCTGGATGGCCTGCATTGCCCAGGAAGATTTCAGGAAAAAATTCCATTGAAAAAACCCTCAAACAAAACAACCCCTAATACTGCCCCAATCTATATATATATGTATGTATGTATGTATATGTGAATGTGTGTGTGTGCATGTATGCAGCCACAGAAGGGGCTGAAGGCTTTTTTGCAGTACATCAACACGTTTAGGGATATCCTAGCAATGGCTGGTACACTATCAGTCTTAAATGTTGGAAACTGATACACAAGATTTCTTGAAGTGCCATGCAAGTCCAAAATTTTCTTGATTTGAAAACATCACTAATGGCCAGACTTCCTGCATTCTACCATAGATGTGTCTGGAAAACTTGACAAAATTCAGTACTGCCTAGGAAAATCTAGCAAAATTCTGTCTTATTTAGGAATATGGCAGCAAGTACAGCACATGCCAAACATCCAACACTATCAGTGGATTTTTATGCTTTTACAAGCTTCTTCTGATTTTATGGCTGATGACTTTTTAAAAAAAAATTATTAAAAAATCTTTCCTGCAGGAAGAAAAAAGAAAAGCAAACAGTGTGACTATTTTCTATACAGAACTAGTTAGACTAACTATTTCAAATCTATACAATTTATATAGCCACAACCTCTCTAAGTAGCAATATTATCTTGTGCATGCTGGTGTTCTACATTTGACATCTAAAAACTATTGTAGAAACTACTGTAGAATGTTGAGAAGTGTCTTTTGATTTCTTGCATGACTAGGTGGTTCTGGTTACACTCTATGAACTCTCCTGGACTAATTATCACTCAGTCACACAGCTGCTCATCACTGCAGGTATATAGAGACAGAGGCTGATCAACTCAGTCCTGCATCAATAAATCATCTGAACTATCAAGCAACAAATTGTTCAGATCCAGACATTCTCAGTGCAAACTGTAACACTTACTAGAGAGTGCTACTCATGCTAGTCATGCTAACCTGGGATAGTTGCACTTTTTCTAAGGCTCTTGAAACTGGTTAGGTGTGCCAAAGCTGTAAGCAGTATACTGCACTGTAATTCAAGGTAATAAGGTGGCTGGAGAGCAGGCATCATCACTGTGTCCAAGACTGCAAAGAAAAAAGAACCAACAGTAAGACCTGCCCACAGTGTATGAAATTAATTGCCTGATAAATGGAGAAGAAACTGGCAGTTCTGTATTTCTTCTATGAGATACTGAAATCTTCCACCTCACATTAGAGTATTTCTGTACCTCATTCACATCCAAGTGCTGTCTATCAGGAAAATAAATCCCAAATAAGACAAATATCTGAAATTAAAGCTATCAAAGTGTTCTTACTGACTGTTGAGTGAACTGGAACAAGGAAAAAAACAAACAACACAAGTATCAAAAAATTCCATGCCTCTCACACCTATTCTGATAGCAAGGGAGAAATCCTGTCCAGCCACGGAAAGCCTAACATTTCAACTGTCCAAAGAAAGGTTGCACTCAAGCTGCGCGATAGAGGAAATTTTCTTCCCAGAACAAAGCAGTCTCCTCTGGAAGGAAACTACATTGCTTGCATTTTAAATTGCTCTCATTGAGCAGAGAAGCCCGTATTCTGCTTTCCTTAAGCCTGAGAAACTTCTGCCCTAAATGAAATCACAGCTATTCTAATTTTGTTGCACTAAAACAATTCCCATAATGAAGGCAAGCTGATGAGAGCAGGGACCACAGCTGACTAGAACACATACTGAGCACTAAAACCAAGTAGATTGTCCTCAGCATATTAAAAGCACAAGGATCTAATCTCTGTTATCATTTCTTCATTGTAGTTTTCCTTCATCTATGATGAACAAGGTTGAGAGCCTTACACATATGGTTCAGGAGTGGAACCAACCTTCAGTGCTCACAAGTGCCTTTCTGAGGAGCTTGAAATAAGTTAGTCATGATTTATGTTGGATATAACATAGAATACCCCCAGAAGTACCTTTTCAAAGTGCTAGTGGTCTCAAACACGAAAACTGCAAAGTCCAATAGCCTAATGGACAAGTGGGGGATAGACCTACGTCATGACCAGTGAGCCTTCATATGGATCCAGAAAACAGGCTATTTTCATCATAAAGAAATTAAATTTAATGACTTGCACAGAAAGCAAAAAGAATAGAGAGAAGCACATTATCTTATAATGGGCCTGAGGTTTTACCCTTGCATTCTGAAATATTCTGCACAATGATAGCAGGACTATAATGCTGCATACACTCTGCAGAGCAAAACTGAAACTACAGGTGGAAACCTAGTTGTGGTATATACAAGCATAATATAAACATGTTCTTTTAAGACTATGGTTCATAGAGAGGACTTTAATCTTACAGATTGTTTTCAATGAACAAAAGCATTGAGAAATTTTGTTATGAGTCTAATTTGTGAAATCTTTGCAATAGAGCATCCTGAAACTACATGATAAAAAGATTCATACCTGTATAGAATTATGTGAAATTAAAGACTAAGAACTAGTGACTGCATGTTTAAAGTTAGAAAAATCATGAAGGTAGTGAAGTCTAAGTACAATTAAAAGTGGAGACAAATAACAAAGAGACACTTCAATGAATTAAGTAC